CATGCTTGGGAGGGTGGAGGGACGGCGCAGGAGGGGAAGGCCCTCTATGAGGTGGATTGATTCAGTGACTGGGATAATTGGGATGGGAGTGTTGGAGACTGCGCGATTGGCACAGGACAGAGAGGAGTTTAGGGCTGTTGTACATAGGGTCGCTATGAGTCGCAAGCGACTCGATGACACATAACAACAAAACAACATTGTTAGGGAATTCCAGTTGCCTAGTGGTAAGGTGGTGTGCTGCCAACTCAAAAACATGCAGTTCGAGTCCGTCAGCTGCTTCTTGGGGAAAAGATGGGCAGTCTCCTTCCATGTAGTTTACTGCCTCTGAAAACCTGCTGGAGGGTCAGCTATGAGTTGGCTCCAATTTGACAACACACAACAATTGTCACCTGTTATGGCAGAAAGATGATGTGTATATTGTTAAGTACCATCACACCAGAATGGACCCATAGCTGATTCAAACTATCGGCCTTCAGGATTGCAGTACAGTTTCTTACCACGAGGCCACCAGAGGTCCCTTGAGAAACACTATACTAGTCTATAATAGCATTTCCCCTTATCAGTTCCAGAAACCATCATTGACATTACTTCAGCAAACCACTTCAGTGGTCATTCAGGCCCTCTTATCCTCAGAGTTTCCCATTTCTAAGTTTCTTTTCTTTCTAGCCATTTATTAACTTACTCTGACATTTTATCTCGTCCAGACTTTTAGGTTCCTAATATCTTTTTTCTTAAAGTCTTACGTACCATCATCCTTTTTGAAAAATTACCTTTTTCATGTGTTGATTCTTCTCTAACCACTCTAGACCATATTGTAGTTTTCTTCTTAGTGTTCCTGCCCTATTGTATTTCTATCATTTGTCCCTACAAACTCTTGGAGGAATCTAGGCATTTGTCCTTTCTATTATATCCCATGGTGGTGGGCTCAGAATCGGGGACGGTTCAGCTCTGTCGTGCACTGTGAGTCTCATTCAACTTGACAGCACCTCACAACCACAACGGCATTCTTACATCAAAGCCACTCAACATTGGTAGAAAAAAATTATAGTGTGAAATTGACCACAGTTTTTGTTTCTAATTAGCTTCTCTTCCCACCCCATTCACAGAGAAGTTGTTCTGAGACTTCACATCAAGGTCCTGATCCCACTCCTGACTTTGTCTTCTACTTATAGAAAACAGAGGCTAACAGATACCAGCTTTCTAATTCCTGTACTCTGACTTTAACTCTACACTTTTGAGCTGTTTTGTCATGCTTAAAAAAGAGATTGCATTTCTTTTCTTCACAGCAGCCCTTCCATGTGCCCATGAATCTTTCCCCCCATATTCAGTATCTTACCCCAGTTTATTCTGTGTTTGTGTATTCCCTGTGTTTATAACTGCTGCTTCTCTTTATTAGCAAACTATCTCTATCTCTTCTTGCTTACTCTCAGATCACCAAATTTCTAGTATAGGGTGTAGGCCATAGTTGTATAATAATTACTTATTGCCCAAGAGAGAATATGGAATAGATGTGAATGAATTTCATTAGTATTTACATTTAAGACCTAAACAAAAATGGGTAAGTAGTCTTTTAACAGCAATGAAGGTGAAATAGAGGAATTTTGCTTTATTTTTATTTTTATTTTTAAATGCTTGTAATTTGTTAGAGCATCAACATATTTCCAAGGAAAGGTGATTCTTCAGAACGTGGAGATTATCAGACAATATCCTTAATATCACATGCAAACAAAATACTGCAGAAGATCATTGAGAAACAGAACAGTACATAGACAGATAACTGCCAGAAGTTCAAGCTAGTTTTAGAATAGGCTATGGCACCAATGATACAGGGCTGATGTCAAATGGATCCTGGCTGAAAGCAAAGAATACCAGAAGAATTTGTGTTTTGTTGACTATGCAAAGGCATATGTAGATCATAACAAATTATAGCTAGCACTGAGAAGAATGGGAATCTCAGAATAATTAATTGTACTCGTGTGAAGCCTATACCAAGAGGCTGTTGTGGAAACAACAGGAGAACATGGTTTAAAATTAGGAAAGATGTGCATCAAGGTTGTTTCCTTTCTCCATACCTATTCAGTCTGTGTGCTGAACTCTATGAGGAGGAATATGGCATCAAAATTGGAGAAAGCCTCATCAGTAATCTTTGCTATGCAGATGATACAACCTTGCTTTCTGAAAATGAGAAGAACTTGAAGCTCTTACTGCACTAGATCAAGGACTATAGCCTTCAATAAGGATTGCATCTCAATGTCAAGAAAACAAGAATTCTTACCCCTGTACCTAAATGCAACATGATGATAGGTGGCAAAAAGATAAAAACTGTCAACAGCTTCATCTTGCTTGGATCCACTATCAGTACACTTGGTTCCATCAGTCAGGAGAACAAGAGACACACTGCACAGGGAAAGTCTGTAGTCAGGGACTTCTCCAAATTGTTAAGGAGAAATATCTGTTTGAGGGCTGAGGTTCACCTGATTCAAGCCATAGGGGGTTTTGTTTGGTTTTGGTTTTATTTTATATTGGTTTGCATGCAAACTATGGTGGTGAAGAGATTGAGATTGTTAGCAGCTTCAGTTTGCTTGGCTCTACAATTAACACTCTTGGTACCAGCAGCCAGGAAATTAAAAGACAAATTAACATTGGGAAAGTCTGCTGTCAGAGACCTCTCCAAAGTACTGAAGAGCCACAATGTCAGTCTGAAGACTAAGGCACACCTGATACAGTCCATGGTCTTTGCAGTCACTTGCTGTGCTTCAAAAAGCTGAACAATGACTAAGAATGATAGAAGGAGAACTGATGCTTTTGAGCTGTGGTGTTGGAGAAGAGTATTGAATATACTGTGGACTGCTAGGAGAACAAACAAATTGGTCCTGGAGAGAGTGAAGCCAGGCTGCTCCTTGGAGGCAAGGATTCTGAAGCTCCATCTTACATACTTTGGACATGTTGCAAGGCGCGATCAGTCCTTGGAGAGGGACGTCATGTTTGGGGTGGTGGAGGGACAGTGTAGGAGAGGAAGACCATTGATGAGATCGATTCATTCAGTGACTAGGGTAATGGAAGTAGGTATGTCAGAGACAATAAGATTGGCACAGGATAGAACAGGGTTTAGAGCTGTTGTACAAAGGGTCACTATGAGTTGCAAATGACTCACCAGCACGTAATAAACACCAACACATTGTATTTCACACATCCCTTAACTGGGGAGTTCAGGTGGCCTAGTTAAGAAGTTACGCTGCCAACACAAAGACATGTGGTTTGAATCCACCAGCTACTTCCTGTGAGAAAGATGGGCATTGTCCTCCTGTGTAATTTACTGCCTCTGAAAACCCACTTAAGGCTAAGTGATGGGTCAGTTCAGACTCAGTGGTCCCCAACAATAATAATAACAATATTGTTTGGCTCACAGTTGAGCCACAATGGTCACTTTTGTTCCAGGTTTGAAGGGTGATACAAGCTGTAGTCTCTTGTCAGACCAGTAAGCTTGGCCTTTTCTGTAGTTTTCAGTTTTGTTCCACTTTTTACTCTACTCTGTCCTGGCTGGATCTTCTGCTATGATAACCTTTTAGCGTTCTGGATTCCGGATTGTGGAGGTTGAGGTTTGCATCATCTGCTAGTCCTTTGTGCTGAATGTTTCAGTACATCTTTGCTTGTCTTCCCTTTTCTTTGTTCTGGACAGAGAAGCACTAATAGTTGCACCTTAAATGCCTGCTTTTAAGACCCCAGTCACTTCTCGACAAATGTCTCCCAAGATTGGTCACACAGCGCCAGAACCAGCAACTCATCCCCTCAGGGTGTTAGATTGTGATTAGGAAGCTTACAAAGCAGTGCCCTCTGCTGGCTGTGCTTTGTAAGTCTTCTACTTCTTCGCCTGGTGCTGCTTACAGTGTTAGTTATGTGATTCATCGTGATGTATGTTTTGTGTATTCCATAATTTTAAAAGATTTTAAAATAAATACTTAACACTGCACATTACATCATATGCCATACTAAGCACTAATAATTCACTTTTTTTTGTAGGAATACGTTTATCCAGAAGCCAGAGACAGACAATATTTATTATTTTTCCATAAAGGAGCCAAAAAGTCACGTTTTGACCTAGAGAAATACAATCAACTCAAGGATGCAATTGCTCAGGTAAGCTCTTTGCAATTACTTGCTGTGCATCAAAGAGCTGGACAATGACTAGGGATGACTAGAAGGAGAGTTGATGCCTTTGAGCTGTGCTGCTGGAGGAGAGTATTGAATATACCATGGACTGCTAGGAGAACAAACAAGTTGGTTCTGGAGAAGGTGAAGTCAGGCTGCTCCTTGGAGGCAAGGATTCTGAAGCTTCATCTGACATACTATGAACATGTTGCAAGTAGGGACCAGTCGTTGGAGAGGGTCATCATGCTTGGGAGGGTGGAGGGACAGTGCAGGCGAGGAACACCATCGATAAGATGGATTGATTCAGTCACTGGGAAAATGGGATAGGTGTGTCAGAAACAGTAAGATTGGCAAGGGATAGAGCGGGGTTTAAGGCTGTTGTACATAGGGTCTCTGTGAGTTGCAGGCAACTCGATGGCACATAACAACAACAACATCATCATCAATCAGAAAGCTAGACAATAACTAGGGATCATAGAAGGAGAATTGATGCCATTGGGCTATGGTGCTGACAAAGAGTACTGAATATACCATGGAGCTAGAAGAACAGACAAATTTGTCCTAGAGAGGGTAAAACCAGATTGCTCCTTGGAGGCAAGGATTCTAAAGTTCTATCTGACATACTTTGGGCATGTTGGAAGAAAGTACCAGTCCCTGGAGAGGGATGTGATGCTTAGAAACATGGAGGGACAGCACAAGAGAAGAAGACCTGGAGGAAATGGATTGACTCTGTGACTGGGGTAATGGGAATAGGTTTGCTAGAGATAATAAGGTCGGCTCAGGATAGAGCAGGGTTCAGAGCTGTGTGTACAGGGTTGCTAGGAGTTGCAAGCAACTCAATGGCATATAACAACATACCATGCAAATATATAGAATAAGGAGTCTATAAAACATTATTCTGCTACCACAACAAGATAAAGTAAACAACCCAATTGAGAAATGGACACAGGATATGAACAGACACTTCACCAAAGAAGACACTCAGATGGCAAACAGGCACATGAAGAAATGTTCAAAATCCCTAGGTCTAAGAGATATGCAAATCAAAACAACTATGAGACATCATCTCACCCCAGTAAGAATAGCAAAATTTAACAGAACAGCAAACATCAAATGCTGGCGAGGTTGTGGAGAAACTGGAACCCTTATATTCATTGTTTTTGGAAGTGTAAAATGGTGCAACCACTAAGGAAGGCTGTATGGCACTTTCTTAAAAAGTTGCAAATAGAAATACCATATGACCCAGCAATTCCACTACTGGGAATATACCCCAAAGACATCCAAGCAGATATATGCACACCCATGTTTATCGCGGCTTTGTTCACAATAGCAAAGAGTTGCAAACAACCCAAGTGCCATCAACAAATTAATGGATAGAGAAGCTGTGATATATTCACACAATGGAATCCTATGCTGCATTGAAAAACAAGGAACTCATGAAATATTATACAAAATGGATGACCCTGCGGACATTATGCTGAGTGAAATATCTCAGTCACAAAAGGACAAATACTGCATAGTGCCACAGTTGTATAAATAATGTATACTGCATTGAAACAGATGAATGAGAGAACTGTTTAAAAGGTGTATATGATTAGTTATTTTTGTCATGACAGGAATCTAAAATGAAGGTTGCATAGTGGAGTGGACTTGTAGGGAGGGATTGTATAACAATGAAAGAATTTTTCTTTTACTTTACAAAGAGAAGAGCAAATTGGGGGTTGGGCAGGGAGAAAAGTATAACAGTGAATGAATGGAAATACAAAGTCTGTGTAAACTTTCTTTAAAATTAATTTTTAAAAAATGAAAATGAACAACATGCTGCGTGAAATAAGTCAGTCACAAAAGGACAAATATTATGAGTTCACTTTTACAAAAATTCAAGAATAGTTATTCACAAAGGAAGCAGCATTCTTTGATAGCCACCAAACAATAAGAACAACCAAAAAATGTGTGTGGTTACGTAGGTAGATTTTATATGTATGTGCACTGGGAGGACTGGTGATGCCGTGCACCGGGAGGCGCACTACTGCCCAAGAGCTGCCCCTCTGTGGTGGGAGAGAAATGGTCTCTTCCATGCCATTTTACAGCCTCTAAAAACCCACTAGAAAAAAAAAAAAATTAAAAAATAAATAAATAAATAAAAACCCACTAGAGAGTCAGCTGTTAGATTATAGTTCATTTGGGAAGCTGGGCTTTATGAGGAGGAGTGTGACATCAGGATTGGATGAAGACTCATCAACAACCTATTTTATGCAGATGACACAACCTTGATTGCTGAAACTGAGGAAGACCTGAAGCATTTGCTACAGAAGATCAAGGACTGTATATCTTCAATATGGATTGAAGTTCAACATCAAAAAGACAAAGATTCTCACCACTGGGCCAATTGGCAGCACCATAATAGATGGAGAAGAGATTGAAGTTTTTAACAGTAAACAACTTGCTCAGTTTCACAATCAACATTCTTGACACCAGCAATCAGGAAATCAAAAGATAAATTGCACTGGGAAAATCTGTAGTCATGGACCTCTCCAGAGTGCCAAAAAGCAATGATGTCTGTCTAGAGACTAAAGTGATCCAGGCCGTAGTCTTGACAATTACTTGCTATGCATCAGAGAGCTGGACAGTTACTAAAGATGACATAAAAAGAATCTATGCCTTTGAGTTGTGGTGCTGGAAAAGAATTTTGAACACACCATGGACTACCAGGAAAACAAATAGGTCTGTCCTGGAGAGGATGAAACTTTCTCCTTGGAGGCTAGGATTTTTGATCCTCCGCCTCACATACTTTGAGCATATGGCCAGGAAGAGGACCAGTCCTTGAAGAAAGACATCATACTTGGAAGGGTAGAGGGACAGCGCAGGAGAAGAAGACCTTGAATGAGATGGATTGACACAGTAACTGGGGCAATGAAAGTAGATGTGTCAGAGTCAGATTGGCTCTAAATAGAGCAGAGTTCAGAGCTGTTGTACATAGCGTTGCTGTGAGTTGCAGGCAACTCGATGGCACATAACAACGATAAAGGAAGGTTTACGTGGGTACATGCATGAGCGCATATGTAGGTGTATCTGTAGGTGTATGTAAATCCAAGTTTATGTGCGCTGCATCTTTATGCATATGCATAATAAAACACATAGCAGGCACCTTATAGGATTGGTTTATTGGGATAAAAGATTTAGGACCATAGTCTCCTGGGACAGTTCAGTCGATGTTCATAAAGATAATGAACTGACATGCCTATTTTGGCAAGTGGTATCTGGGGTCTTAAAAACTTCCAAGATGCCAAAAGCTTGCAATGAGACCAGTCGATCCAGCTGTCTGAGTTTTTAAGGTACCACCAGTGACTCAGCTTTCTGTTTAAAAATCCTCAGCTCAATGAAGAACCTTTATGACTGCTGCATGTATAACTAAAGTGTTGAGTAGCATCTGTTCAAGTTCTCCCTACAAGCAAAGGCTTAGGCAGGGGCTCCTCCCGGCGTGTGTTTTGGATGCTCCACATGTCCGCGTTGATCGCACTGCCTCTGACAGCTCTGTCGACAGCTGAAGCAGCAAAGCTGATTTCCAGTCTGGGTCCCACTTAATTGTCCTCTGCTTTGGGGTAAAGCCCTTTTGTTTTCCTAGGCAGTCTTATTTTGGGAGTAACTGGGTTGACCTTCCTGACACAGTTACTGTGGCAAGACAGTCTCTTTTTCTCAACAGAAAATACTATTGAAAGCTTCCTCAGCAATTTCTCTCACCTTTTGTTTCTATTTTAGGCAGAAATGGACCTTAAGAGACTGAGAGACCCATTACAAGTGCATCTGCCCCTCCGACAAATTGGTGAAAAGGACTGATGTGCAGAGAACCCTGGAATCCCATCCCGGCAGAAAGAACACCTGTTTATAACTCTTGCCTTTGTAATTAAAGTGTGCAGGTGGATGCTGGGAGCTCTATGGGGGAGGAGGGTTTTTACCTTTAATTTAAAAACAAAAGGAATTTAGGGGGGAAAGGGAATGCTACAATCTGAGGATCAGGCATTGTGGAATATAAGTCTCAAAGGGCTTAGTGAATATTGTCTTAATCAAGCATCTCAGTTTCTGGATGAAAATGATGCAATTATATAATCAAGAGATTCCTAATGAGATGATGATGTGGAGGGTGTTCGTTTCTCGCATCTTATTTCCAGGGTCAGCAAAAGAATAACACACCAGCACCCCCCTCAGCTCTGATTTCCCCTCCCTTAATTTACCTTTTATTATTTTTGACACAGAAACAAATTAATAAACCAGAAAAGAAATCCACAAGATACGTGAATGGCCAACAGAGGCTCAGGCCATGTCATAAGCATTAATTGTAGATTGTACTCCAGTCTCTGCAAAGTTCCCAGTCCCCTCCTCTGCCCCTTTGCTGACCCCTATGCCTGTTGATTACACTAATTTTACCCATGTGGTAATTGGAACTGACCCATGACTGATAACTGATACTTTGGATTATCCCTCCCTAAATGTCTGTATCCCCACACACACACACACCTGACACTCTCGGTCAGTATCTAGAAATCATTGGCAACACTGCATGAAGTTGTTTTGTTTTGTTTTTTATGAATTAGCCATCCAGCAGGGGAAGACTCCCCTTCCTTTATTTACTTCTCCTCTTGATTTCCCCTTTGAACTCCCTACCTCTCAGAGCAGGAGGCTGGGGCTGTCAAGCTGTATTACCAAATCAAGATGTGAGGTTTACAAATCGGCTAAAATCATGGCTCTGTAGTTATTTCAGGACCTACATAATTTCACTACTGTTAATCTGCTTGTGTGGTAGCATTCCAGGCCACCCAGATGGCACTGGCATGTCTGATGCAGTTGTCAATCCTGAAGGACACACCCTTCCTTGTTTAGAGGCCCTCCCACCTCCACCACTCCAGTCCTTTTCAGTCCAGTGTGGGGATGTTAGTGGGTGCAATTTCTCTTTATACAGGAGTACATTTCTATGGCTTCCTTAAGCCCATCCTCTCCACCTTATTTTTCTTATCTTAAACTGAGAGGAAAGAAGAATTACTCTTATACTCTTTCAAAATGTTTTCTACCATATTTCCAAATGACATCTGCATCCGAAAGGTCAAGGGTCTGTGTCTGCTGTCCTGTTTTGACCACAGTGGGGCAGGATGGGGAGAATAGTGGGATTTAGCACACAGGCAGCTGGCTTTTTTTCCCCTATCACATGATTCACTCTTCCTCGTGGCAAGGATTTTCTTTCTCGTTTTCTTCCTCCTTTGGGATCATTGTGTATGAAAAGAAAACTCTAAGTGACAAACCCAGACTCCAGGTGCCTTGTGGAGGTTGAAGGCCAGCCAGGATTACTGCTGCTGCTCCTGCCACCCCCTCCCACGGCATGATGGAATGAAGGGATGCATGGCTCCCCTACCCCCTTTTCCTTCCTCCCACCCACCCCACTCAACCAACCCCCATCCCTTTTTTTTTAAGTTGTGTGAATTATTTTTAAACCATTTATCCTGTTTGTGCAGGGTTTTTTAAGAAGAAAGCACAGTGCAATGAGCAAATCCTTCCAGGGTGTGTGGGAGGCAAGGGAGGGAGGATATGGAGAAAAGTCCTTTAAACAAATAGCAAAATACTGAACATGTGTAAAATCCTGTATCATTTATGAAATATGTATAAAAAGCAATGTACCTTCTGGAACAATAAATACTTATTCAATTTTTGAACAAAAGCCTCTCATTCTTTAAAACTTGACAAAAAATACTTTTTTCTGGGGTTCAAGGTGGGAGGCTTTTTACTTCAAAGATGCCTGCTTTGAGGGGGGAAAATAGGTTCTTGGAACAGGCCTCTTTTTTCAAAACAAGCATCATATGCATTTTTTCTGACCTTAACATGAGCTGTAGTGTCCCAGTTTTCCAAAGCTGAGTGTGTTGTACAAGCCTCTGTGAAGTGAAGTGAGGGCAGCCCTGGGACCAGCAGCCACGTCCCTTGATTAAGAGGGAGATTCTCCTTCGTGCCCAAGCACTTTGATTGCCAGAGTGGTTGCTCAGTCTCCAGAGAGTTGTTCAAAGATGGACCAAATTAAAGATCCAGAGGTAGTGTTTTTAAGAGTTTGCAAAAAGTAATATGATATGAAAATACCACATGCTGTCAAAAAATTAGTAAAGGCCTATCAAACAGTGTATGTGAAATGTCTGAAGTCATTTAGGGAGCTCTGGTGGCCAACAGTAAGAAGATGCACTGCAATCTCCAAGTTGGTGATGGTGGTTGTTGTTAATTGCCGTCCAGTCTAGGGTGACTCATAGCAACCCTATGAGCAAAAGACCTGAACACTTGTATAACTTTCATCATTTCTCCATGTTCATAGAGTTTCCGGAGGCAAGCTCTTTCAGAAGTGAATGCCACACCTGCTTGTTTCATCGGGAAGCTCCGTCAAACACTGTCCACCATGGGTAACCATTATCACATTTGACACATCAGTGTCACAGTGTTCTGCTTCTTAGCAACCACGAGTTACCTCTGTACAGCAAATGGACAGACCAGTGCTATACCATTTAGGAGAATGTTTGACCAAAAACAATTAAAATCAGGCCTGAAGGATGCAGATTAAAATCAATCTCAAAAGTATGTAATTCAAATCCACATGGTTCAAATCCACTAGCTGCTCCATGGAAGAACGGGCAGTCATTCTCCTTCTGTGCCATCAACTGCCTCTGAAAGCCCACTGGAGGGTCAGCTATGGGTTGGTTCCAACTCCACGACACGCAACAACAATCTATAGGAACAACGAAGTCATTTAGTGCTCTGTGAGATCATAGTTCAAAATCCTCTGCAACTGTGCTCCTGCCTCCTGCCCTCCTGCCGCAGACTACAGCCTCACCCAGACATGCCTGACACGCAGTGGATGTAAGAAGGGAAGAGAGGAAAGATTAAGGTGATGTCTGCGTTCAGTAATATCTACAGCCTCCTAAGTATTGCAGGAGGCTCTTGGTTTTTAAAGAAAATAAAGCCTGATTGCTCCCTCTACAAACCTTGCAATTTAGAGTGTGCATTTGGAGCATAGCACCTTTTCACCAGTTTTTCTATGCAGGCAAGGCACAGCGGCCCCGTGAGATGGCAGCATGAGCCAGGCCCAGTGCTCTGTCCTCACGGTCACTGCTGGGCCCAGCCCATTGTAGCTCCCGTGTCAGCCTGTGTCGTCCAGGATCTCCCTCATTTCCATTGACACTGTATTATTCATGATGTCTTTCCCCGAGACCTGACGCTGATGATGACTCCAACAGCATGGGTGATTATCACTACCTCCAAGGAGCCAGCTTCCAAGCCCGAGTCAGCTCCTGCCGCTTCGTGGGCTCTCCGCGTAGTTTTGAGTCCTTTACTGAGTTAACATAATGCAGTTTTACTGAGGAATCAGGACTTTCATAACTTTTCTCTAGTCGTTTGTTGCTAGTTTTGCTATTTTTGAAGGGCTTTTAGATTTATAGAAAAATTACGTAGAAAGCCCAGGGTTCCTGTACCCCATTCCTGCACATTATTTCTCTTGTTTATTATTATTATTATTATTATTATTTTTCAATCTGTATGCAGAGCAAATCAACCGAGACGCTGGGCTGTACGAGGATGACTGTGGCATCAGGATTGGTGGAAGAGTCATCAACAACCTGCGTTATGCAGATGACACAACCCTGCTTGCTGAAACTGAGGCAGACCTGAAGCGCTTGCTGCAGAGGGTCAAGGACTGCAGTCTTCAATATGGATTGAAGCTCAATATCAAGAAAACAAAGATTCTCACCACTGGGCCAGTTGGCAGCATCAGTATGGATGGTGAAGAGACTGAGATAGTTAACACTCAGTTTCCTTGGCTCCACAGTCAACACTCTCGGTAACAGCAGCCAGGAAATCAGGAGACGAATTGCATTGGGAAAGTCAGCTGTGAGGGACCTCTCAAGAGTACTGAAGTGCAACAACGTCAGGCTGGAGGCTAAGGTGCATCTGATCCAAGCTATAGTCTTTGCAATTACGTGCTATGCATTGGAAAGTTGGACAGTGACTAGGGATGATAGAATTGATGCCTTTGAGTTGTGATGCTGGAGAAGAGTGCTGAATATACCATGGACTGCTAGGAGAGCAAACAGGTTTGTCCTGGAGAGGGTGAAGCCAGAATGCTCCTTGGAGTCAAGGATTCTGGGGCTTCGTGTGACATACTTTGGGCATGTTGCAAGGAGGGACTGGTCCTTGGAGAGAGACATCATGTTTGGGAGAGTGGAGGGATGGCGCAGGAGAGGAAGACCCTCGATGAGATAGATTGATTCTGTGAGTGGAGTGGTGGGAATGAATGTGCTTGAGACAGCAAGGTTGGCACAGGATAGAATGGTGTTTAGGGCTCTTGTACATAGGGTCGCTGTGAGTCGCAAACGACTCGATGGCACATTAACAACAACTATTATATTTATATTCTCCATTATTTTGCCTGGGAAACGTGTTACAAGTGCTGAACAAATACCGATGTCTTATCATTAAATGCTTGTGCAATAGTTAAAAACTCAGCTGCTCACTGAAAGGTCAGTGGTTTGATCCCACCAGGTTTTGAACGCACAAGGAGAAGATGGGCAGTCGACTTCCATGAAGATTACAGCCTTGCGGTCTCTGGGACCATTGTCCATCCTGTGGGATCTCTTGAATGGAAATTGACTCGGTGGCAACTAGTTTGTTTTTATATTAAATGAAGTCCATATTTTATATTAGGGTTCACTCTGTGTTATAGATACCACCATTACAGTACCATGCAGACTCATTCCATTGCCCTGAAAATGTCTGTGCCCCCTAAATCATCCTCGTCCCTCTACCTAGCAACCTTTTTC